GCTTCCATCGTCGGCCACGACGGCAGCGTCTGGGCCCAGAGTGAGCTCTTCCCTCAGGTATCCTCCCTTATCCTTTCGGTTTGCTTCTTGGCTACGCCTCTCGATTAGTTTGATCTGCTTGTGTTCTTTGGATCTGATGGATGATCACTGCAGCGGCAGATCTGTTTGATCTGTTGTGGTGTTGATATTTTTTTTTCTTTTTAACTGTGGTTTTCTTCATCTGATGTTGGATCGAAGTTGGTCTTACCCGGACTTTTCGTTCTTGATGGGCTCTAACCTAGGATCACCTTTGTGTATGTCGGTAGATGTGGGTTCATGCTAGCCGTCGAATCCTTGCCCTGTGGAACAACGAGCAATTCGTGGTGAAGGGCTTGGATGGGGGATCGCATCGTGTGACGGTCTTGTATTGAGTCCTGGATGCGGAATTACACGGGGATTGCCAATGATTGATGGAGAGGAGATCTGGTTGTTGATTCTCGTGCTCCAGCATGTGCCCCCATTTTTTTTTTGAGCAGGCATGAGCGATTGCGTTCATGATTCTGAGAGAATAAACTTTGGCGATCGGAAGAGATGATAAGATCTGACACAATGTCTTCAAAATAATTGTTTATTTGTTACACTCATCGACTAATTTAAATGATGAGAGCTATACAAAATGTTTGACCTAATAAAGCCCTCGAGTTAAGGCATTCTAGTAGATCTTTTCTTATTTTTAGTCATGATAAGTTCATACAATTTATTTGACTTACAATTTTAATAAGTTAAAATAATGTATTTGACTTAGAATCTCTTCATCTGATGGGCTGCCAATTAGTGTATTAATACAGGAAACTTAAATGTCGACACTAAATTCTAGCTGATGATGCTGCAGAACACTTTTCTTGGGTCCTCTCAACATTTGACTATCTAGTCATTCAGTTATATTCATATAAATTCTGCAGTACAAGCCGGAAGAGATTTCTGCAATCATGAAAGACTTTGATGAACCAGGATCGCTTGCTCCAACTGGGTTGTACCTTGCAGGGACAAAGTACATGGTCATCCAAGGCGAGCCAGGAGCTGTTATTCGAGGGAAGAAGGTCAGACTCTATACCCTGCTTATTGACTAATCTACTCTGTGCTTTGTGAAGTTCAATGGCATTCCATTGTTATTGCACAGAATGCCAATTTGATTATACTCAAGTTTATATTTCTAAATACTTAATGTTTTCTTGAATGCATAAGACACATCATGAATTGTTTAATATTTTTTTTGGAAATTCTAGCAATAATTAAATTAAGCCTTAATAAAAAAGAAACGATATCATGAAGATGATCAAAACTGTAAGTATCTGTATATTTGATGGGGGAGAATCATATTATTTCTGTTTTAAATTATGGATCCATGATGAAGTCAACTGGAGCTTGTCGTTTCTATGCTCAAAGTTTTTTTTAAATTAAGGCATTTTGCTTGAAAATTTTGTTAACGATCATCCGGCATATGCAATTAAGGAGTATGCAGGCTACGTCATCCGTACTATTAACCACAACATGTATGAATTACCCTCATTTCTGAATCTATTTGCCTCTAATTGTATCCCGTGATCCATATAGCTCATTAGTTAATGGTGATCATAAATAATTTAGATGGTACTATAACCATAGATCTTCTTCTTTCGATGATTCGTTTTTAAGATGTCTTTCAATGATGTCAAAGTTTCTAAGAGAACAGTTTGTAGTATAATATATGGTCTAATTTTGCAACAGACCTTATATACATGAGAGATAAGTGAAGATAGTAGGGTCCACATTGGCAGCAAGTGACTTTTCCTAGGCCTTAAAATAATTAGCTTAGAATTTGTTTTTCATACTTGTTGACTTTAAACAACTGGCTTTTCTTTCTAAGAGAACTTAAGCATAGCCTATATTAGTCTTTCTGGTCCTCGATTTTCTTTTTTTTAATTTAAGCAACCAGTGGATGTTTTTGTTGATGTGGAAGACTTTAGATCAATAGAGTGAGAGAGACAGTGGTTAGCTAATGTGGATCCATCAAACTGACAAACTATTAATTTTTTAAATCAACATGAGTTATTGTTCTCTCTTCAAGGGTGCTCTGAGAACTGTATTCCTCCATTAATTGCAGAAAGCAAAATATTAATTAGCAATTATCTGGTAGCTTATTGATCTACCTGCACCATGTAATATCTTTTGGTAGACGTCTTAGTCTTGAAACCATGCCAGAACAGCTTAGTCTCACCGTCGTTGGAAGAACTAATCCAACTCATTAGTTTATCAAATAGGATTACTACCTATTGCCTTAATTGCAGATCTACTTCTAGATGGCTTATGCAAATTTTGTCATTTGCTTCATTTGTTATTTTCATCAAATTGTTCCTGAAATAGGATTACGCTCTGCCTGAGGCATCTCGATGAGAATACCTAATATGCGCAAAGGTAAAAGAACTAATGTTCAAGTAATATATTAACTACCATGGTAACTTTTGATTGGTCAATCTTCATGTAGTTTTTATCTTGTAGGGTCATATTTTTGCCCTTTCCTGGATGGTATTTATATACATGGAAGTAAAACATGAAAATGAGACATGCCATGCATGCTCAGAGGTAAAATAGGTTCAACTTGACTTAATGTTGGGCCATCCTCAAACACCATCTGGCCCATATCTGCCACCCCAATTTTCATATAGACTCATAACCGTAAATGGGATATCAGTAGCTGAACAAACGAACCATACTATACTAAATTAGTCTTTAGCTAATTGTTCAAGATTTAAGCTTTTGGTTCTTTCATCAACTAGGAGCAGTCTTTTTTTTCTTCTCAAATATGTATGTTTCAGTCGCACATGAACATAAATAAACTCAATGTGACTTGCTTTCTTATAGGGTTCCGGTGGTGTTACTGTCAAGAAAACCAATATGGCTTTGATATTTGGCATATACGAGGAGCCAATGACCCCTGGTCAATGCAACATGGTAGTAGAGAGGCTCGGTGATTATCTCTTTGATCAAGGTTTTTGAATTAGTATACTGAGCTTGAATCCTTTTCCATTTGTTTTTGGTGTTAAAATCCTATAATATGGGCCTACGGTCTACCTGAAATTGCAACGAGTGTTACCAACAATGAGCTTGAAGTATTGTTGGAAGTAATGTTGAGAATGATTGTTGTTATTTATCTGTTTGTGTGGATTATAATGTTTACTTCGTTTTGTAACATGTATCATTCTGTGGTCAACATTTCACATTTCATTGTGGAAGATACTATTAAATTGTAGCCTATATATATGATATTGTGATGCTGCAATGAATGTTCAACGTTCTCTTACGCTCAAGTAGTAAAGAGAGAAAGATCAAATCCTCATATCCGTACTTTATAGTCGATCATCCCTAATGTTAGGGGAATATTTTCTACGTACAGAAAATATTTCGAATATTTTCCATTGGGATTTCGGTCGACATAGCACATTTGGATGTCTCTGTTTTGTCTTTACATTTGGATGTCTCTGTTTTGTCTTTTTATACTTGTCAAGATGCTACATATCAAGTCTTGACTGGAAACGAATCACATAGGAACAGGGGCCTGGAAATAAGCATGGCTGCAAAAATAAACATCCGTCGTAAAATATAAAACAAAGAATAGAAAGGAATATGAAATGATTACAAATTATTCCTCGCGTTCCTACTTCAGATAGTTAATAAACACAACCTATCTAATGTACATAGTCAGGCCGTGAGCAAAGTTCATGTATCTTACCACGAACCACATGATGGGCTGCCTAGAATAGACAGATATTAAAACTTCAAATGGATTCGGCTAGATTAGACCTATCGAGATATTAAAAGTTCAAATTGATTCGGCTAGATTGGATCTAACGAGTCTAATTTGGTTGTCACTGGACCGGCCAGCATACTTAAATCTTCACCTATTCTATTATAGACCTCGAATGATATTTTCTAGGTGAATTCTGGATGGAGTCAACCATCATTGCTCAAAGATTGCCTTCACTAACCCATCGTTGTCATGAGGCGATGTGCACAGCATAGAACTTAAATCTCAGTTCACAATTACCATATTATTATCACTAATATTATACAAAAGTAGTAGCTCCACTTTACACCGCCCCATGTGCCACTCCACGCATTACCTTCATATGCGTTATGTACCTATATATAATATAGGTCGTGCGAACATGTTGTGTGTGTCTTTATGTCCCAAAGGAATCATTCCTTTATAGATGTAATTATCGTCTCATATTTTGAAGTTCTTTAGAAATCATTTATTTGTGCAAGTAATTCTTTCACAGAAATTTCTATATAATTTGTCGATCCCAATATGCTCAATCAACCCAAAATCTACGTGGTCTCGCAATGGTGGGTGGGACCCGTCATGCTATGCCCATCCCGACACGATCTCACCTATGCATGGTGGATGGCGTCCGATCCGTTTGCTTTCACGGCATCATTGATTGTAATTTAGTTGTAAATGGATTAAAATTAAAATTCATTTTAAAGATCTGATAAATATACTGAGTCAATTGTTTGTATTAACAGGTAAATTATTTCTTCGCGAGCTAACGGCAACACCAATTAGATTGTAACGATTATAATGTTGATTGATTGGGATTCCTGAAACAACAGCAACACCAATTATTCTTTTGACCCAGTGGGAATTCCGTTGGCTAACATCAGAGGTAGTAATAACTGCCATCAACATCGTTCGGTTAGGCCGCATGTGGCAGACAATTGTACCTAATCAGTAGCCATCCGGTATGTGCTCTGCTCTCATCAATGCACGCATTGATACACCCTCATGCAAGTCAGCATCGGCCGAGTCATTTGCGCGAACACTTTGTGGCCATCGATGTGCTCCTGCCGCACGTCACTTTCGAGTTTAAAGCGCATTGAATCGCGTCTTTACAAGCACAAGTCACGCGAGACAATCCATCGGAATCTAGTAGATCTCTTCATGAGAGATGGCCAATGCCTTCCGGTCGTTCGACCCTTTGCCCAACAGGCAAACGAGAACGAACACAACCTGCAGCCACTCGAGCCATCTCAGTAATGAGAGAATGCCAACTGCCTCTTCATCCATCAGCCAGTGTCTTCCGAGTATTTCGAGAAGGTAAAGTCCCTTTCTTTCACCACTCACGCAGCGAGGCCTGAGCATTCGACAAGTGCAAGCAACGGAGGGCGAGAATTATGGGTTCAGGGCCCGACCGTGACCTCTCGACATGTGCCTTCCGAGTGTGGGTCATGTCTCATAGATTCCTGCCACAGATGTGAGGCACAAAGCAGCAATTCAAATGCCCTATCGATCACTGGAGCTAGTCTCAGTGAAGGGGTCAAGTGTGCAGGTTTTGTCTTCGAGCACTGCGTCGGATTGAATGAATCTCGTTTGGATTGTGATCTACATGATGGTCACTAATCAACTAAGTTCACCGTGCAGGAGGTGGAGCTCGAGAACCGAGGATGAGGAGGACCACCACTGGCTGCCCGGGGCCGTGAGAGACGAGAAAGCATCCGGTCGATCCATCCACGACAGGGGGGGAGGAGGGGTCATGTGATGCATGTACGAGCGGCTCCCGACAACGGCGCAGGTTGCCTGACATGGTGACCCCGAAAGATCCGTATCACACAGAAGGAATTCTAAGGACGGCTTCTGTAAGCATTACCTCACCCTGCACCAGCATTCGCATTCACATTCACCCTGAAGCACTTGCCATTTGTTTTGCTAATGATCCAGTAGATGATGATCTCAAGAGAGAGACAGAGAAAGAGACAGAGACAGAGACCAAAACAAAGCAACGATCTTAATCCTCAGCTTGGTACTTGTGAATGTGGGAGTGTGCAGTTTGCAGAGAAGGTTTGAATGTTCACTAGGTAAGCATGTCCTTTTGGGCTAAGGGTAATTGGATTAAGCCCTGACATTGTTGGTTGGATGCATGGCCATCAACCTTGAGCCAGCCAAGCTCACACGAGGATGATGATGATGACATGGGCAACACACCCTTTTCAAGAATTCAAAACTGCACAAACTCCTGTATCTAAACAGTCACCTTAAACTAATCTAAACAGTCCATCTCAACTTAAACGACTATAAGCCTCGTGGTTCGAGCTTAGAGAGTAAAGAAAGGGTGATCAGAGTGAGGGAAGAAGGACAAGTGATGTACTTCCAAAGGTATTCAGTGTGTTCAATCAATCCTTCTTAGTATTTCCATTAGTGTTCATGTGGTTGTTGGATTGGACTAATTCTGTAGATTATAGCTCGATGTTGCTGCTCTCACTCATTCATGGCTTCTCTCACAGGGAAGTCTAAATGAGCAGCAAAATGGGTAACCTTCCAAAGACTTGTTGATTGATGTTTATGAATGAGTAGGTGATCGATCGTGTTCATCCACTGCAGCAGATTTGACTTGTAAGCATCCGACTGCCTCAGATTTGGGTAATCATGTGCTCAAAAGCAGAAGAAGAGCAGTCAAATGGATCCCACGAGGTGTGTTCATCTTTCACGATCACTCACTGTTCTTTCTTGCAACTTTTTTGTAGCTTTTCCGAAGCGCAAGCTTTTCTCCACCTTGGAATCGCACTGAAGTGACAATAGAGGACGAGTGCTACAGCAAATACGATCGTTCATGAACTGATCCATACGATCTTCGATCTTCTTCGGCTTGGGTTGCGAGAAAATATACGTGTATCACCGGTGCATGTTCACGTGGAAGATTCCAGGGTACGAGGAGACTCTGGAGCGACACCATGAACGTGATTCCTCCATGGACACCAAGTACAGGCCGAGATCAGATGACACCCATGAGTTTGACCGGACGGTGCGACCGAGCCCGTGCTGCCGTCTTCTCCATGGACGCCGAGGCGGAGATGCTGCAGCAACAACCGTTGCACGTCGATCCTATCCTCCACCCCGTTGTCGAAGGAGCGATCGGGACATGGGCTGATTGATGAGACAAGAGGATCATGGAGAGAGATAGCGAGAAGAATGACATCACACGTCATGGAGAAAGCTGTGGCACGGCTCGGTGGACTTGGCAGCGTAAGCCGACAAGGAGACGGTAGTGAGTGGCGCAGGTACCGAAATGTGCCCTAGGGAGGAGCATTTCGGTTAGGGAGATGAGGCAGCGTGATGCAAGCACAGCCTCCTTCGTTTGGAGGAAGATAAAGAGTGCAGTGCAGTGCAGTGCATTGTTTTGAGCTCGTGACAGAGTTGCGTGCACAGCCTCCCAAACCCTCTCATCAATCAAATCAAACTCTAATGATTACTGCAAATGAGGTATAAACAGTGTTATCAACAGTATTCGATGGCCTGCAGCAGCTCTGAGGAACAAAAGTTGGCTGTGTGGGAGCTTTTGGCTGTTCATCTATTGCATCAGCAGCTTGTGGAGCTCAGAAGCAATAGTTATCATTTGGAAACCCAAGCCGAGCAGCGTTGTAGAGGTCACCGAAGGATTCGGTGAACGAGAAGACGGTCCAAAAGAATTCTGCATCACGGACTGTGCAGGGAAGATTTTGACCGAAGGAAGAAACAAAACTCTGACCGCAATCTCAGCGAGTCGTCGTGAAATGTTGTCACCGGTGACATCTTTTGCTTTCCCACCAACACCATCACCATCAACATTACATTGCGACACGGCGGTCACCTCAAATCTAAGATGAAGGAAAAGAATTGTCAGGCCAAGTCACGGTTCTCTGTTCATGTTCCTCCGTTTCGAGGTTTCAAGAAGTTGCAGGTCTTATTAAGAGAATAAGACGAAGCAAGAGCTGCTCATCTGGCAACATCATCACTGATAACACCTTGCTGCTGCCCTGCAAAAGCTATGAGTTTACCCCACACTGTCAGTCGTATGGCCACAGTGGTCTGTCTCCGGCAAACCTCACTCTGATGCACATGCACCCATCAATCCAACCATGAGACAGCGAGGAAACCGTGCATTATCTCTAACATCAACGAGCAACGAGGGAGGAAGAACAAGGATTTGTTAGAGACAGTCTAAGAATTTACATGGATTCTATAGAGGAAAAGACACGATCAAGAGAGGAAGGTGGCGCAGATCTCTTCCTCTTATTCTTGTGATCTCAAGGACTCTTATCGCATCAGGTCTTCCTTTGCAAGTAGGACTCCCTGTCGAGCCTCCCAACAACAGCGGTCTTGAAGTTGAAGGCCTCCTGCACGCGGGTGCAGGACCTCTGCATCATGGCTCCGCTCAAACTTGCCCGGGACTCCACCATCACTTCGCTCGGAGGCAGCCTCTTCCGCGTCCCCGCCGGCTCCGGCCGCTGCTTCGGTGCGCTCTGCGACCTCGCCTTCGCCTCGAAGGACTGCGTGCTCGCCATGTAGTTAGGGCAGTCGGGGACGTTCATGAAGCGGCGGAGAACCCCGTCGGCGCCGCACACGCTCTTCGTCGGCGTGACAGGCGCGTTGCCGGATGCGTTCACGTAGCGGGGAGTGCTCTGTGCCGTGTGCGACAGCCGGCACTTGTCGCCTGCGAGGCACCAGTCGTATTCTTGGAAGTTGCGGCAGTCGGGGATGAAGATCCTGGCCGGAATCTGGCACGGCAGCGGAGAGGAGATGGAACTCGAGTGCAGGTCGTCGGCGGGGTCCAAAACCGACGGGTTCGTCCGACGGGATGATCTCGACGACTTCGGGCGGCAGATGTCGATCTCCACGATCTTTGGGCTCCTGTCGAAGCCATTGGAAACGTTGTCGAGGCCGGCAGAGAGCCTCCTGCTATGGAACGACGACATGTTCTCGCTCCTCACCTCCTCGAACCTCTCCTACAATCAAGGAAGAAGAAGAACAGGAAGCGCTGAGTAATATACCGATTACTAAGATCATATCGAGGACGTAATCAGCACTCGGACATACAAAAGGTGGCTGATGGCGGAACTCTAGCTGAAGTCTCCGGTCGTCCCGGAGAAGATTGCGAGCTCTCCGAGCTCGCACTGTCGCCTGAGCTCTGATGAGAGCCTGCATGCTATGAAGAGTTGCGGCGGCTTGCTTGCGCACAAGATAGCCTCTGACCAAAGCTTGTAGCTTGACGAGTGCTTTCAGAGCTCTGAGAGCTTTCTTTGCCTGCATAACTCACACCAATGGGATTCAATATCATTAGAACCATTGAAAGGAAGGCTAAACTCAATGGGATTCAACATGATTCGATTCCGAAAGCAAAAGATTGGGCGAAATGAAAGGATAAGGAAGGGAACAAAAGAAATTATGAGCGACCGAAATAATCAGAGATCCATTCCAAAGGAGCAATAAAAGCTCGTCATTCCTTCTCGGAACACAGGTAAATAGTGGCTGTGAATACTAAGAAGCTATCATAATCGATAGGAAATGAGGACCGAAAACAGCATCTGATACGAATGGAAGAGAGTAGCAGAAAGGAAATGAAACATCCAAAGAAGAAACGAAGAGGAGGTTGATTCCGATACCAAATATGCCCGGAATGCAGACTGGATCTTGACGGCCGCTAGACGCTCGATGCTGCGGCCGAACATGGCACCGCTCCCCTGGCTCGTAAGCCGCACGACCGCGACCGCGGCCTGCGCTGCCGCGACGGCTGCGTCGGCAGCTGCAGCAGTGGCCGCCGCCACCGCAATGGCGTGCTTGCTCTGCTCCTTCTCACTCTCCGAGTAGAACGATCTGAACCACGCGGCTTCTACCGCCGCCGCGGTCGAAGCATTCTGGCCCAGCACCACGTCGTCGCCGGAGCCCCTGACCGACTTCGTGAAGCTCCACCTTTTCTTCTCCCTCCTGTCCTCATCGCCACGGTAGCCGGAGAAGTCCTTCCCTTCCCTGTTCTCCTTCTTCCCACCCCAAAGACTCCGCAGCCAACGCTTCGCCCGACCCATTCTCCGGCTGCAGGAGCAGAGCGAAGCCGAAGACGCCTACTGTCTGGAAGTCCTACAACGCAAACAAGAGCGAAAGGGATGCCATTGCAACGGTCTCACATGAAACGAACTACGAACAAAGAAGCAGTGAATCTTATCGACATGGCAAAAGCCCAAATGGAGAGGCGACGCAGTGATGAAAACGTCGAAAGACGCAAGGGGAAAATGTGGAAAATTTGGCCAAAAGCGACGCAAAAATGGGATCTTTTTCAAAAGGAAAAGCATTACAAGACAAATGGGTGTTGCAGAGAGAACCAGAGATAAGAGAGAACCATATGTATATATATATATATAGAGAGAGAGAGAGAGAGAGAGAGAGGGGCAGATGGAAGTGCTGCAGATTCAAAAGTGGAAGACTTAGGAGGAGGCTTTCGCTGGGATGTTTAGCTGATGTAGGAGTTCAGGCGCAGGAGAGGAAACAACACACCCTTCCAGATATTCTCTGCCTTCCAAAAATTCAGCAGAAAAGACACGAAGGAATAGCTATCCTAATTGTTAAAGACGGAGAAAGATTGGATTTTTCCTCTCTCTCTCTCTCTCTCTCTCTGCCCGACAAAGTTAGGACTATATAAAGCCCATAAAAAAGGAGCTCTACCACCCTCACCACCTATCCATATCGAAACTACGTAACCAGTAGCCACTCGGTCACCCAAGGGTGAAGATGACACACCCAAAGGTCCGGGTTTCCACTCTCACCTCTCGCTTTGCTTAGTACCAAATCCCTGTAGAAGTGGACGATGCACAACAGAAAGGAGCGGACGAATCCATATCATGTTAAAAAAAAATCGGATTTTTTTTCGCTTTTATTCTGTTGCTACCTGCTTTTTCCTGTGACTAATTATGATATTTGATCATCAGGCAGGAGGAAGAAAGAAAAGCGTCCAGAAAAAGTTTTAGAACATAATTAAACAGTAGCAACTCGCGCCTCTGGCTCTGCAAAAGCTATGTTCTTCCCTCTTTCTTGCTCTCTATTCACATTGCCGCCATCAATCCTGAGCTGCTTTGATGCACCATCGCGCGCTCTCTCTCTCTCTCTCTCTCTCTCTCTCTCTCTATCTCTCTCTCTCTCATATATGCTATCAAAACTACTCTGCACACAAAACGAACTACAGCCAAAGGACGAGGCCTCTTGAAAGAGGAGGGAAAAGAAATCCCTCGTAATTCCTTTCTTTCAATCTGTCAAGAAGACATTATATAGACGTCCTCATCAAAGAAACAGAGCAACGGAATGGGCTCTCTCCCTCTCTCCACTTCTCTGACCCAGGGGGACGCCACAGAGCAATCAATGGGGCACGAATGAAAACACGAAAAGCTTACTCTTTTCTCGCCAGTCGCCTTTGCGGTGCGCTTGCTCTCTCTTCCGCCGTTGGAAACCGTGGGAGCGGCAGTGCACGGGGTGGAGAGCAAATGCGGGGGCTTTTACTGGGTTTTATGAGGAAAGATGGCACCTTTGAGCACGGTCTCCGCTCCGCTATGGAAACTGGAACCGATCACTGCCGTTAAGAGGACCAGCAGGGGATTTAAATGGCGAATCCATCGATCTTTTTTGGGATTAAAAATGGTGCGTTTTTATGAAAGGAAAAGCTTTTGGTCGTTCTCCACACGGCTGACGAGACGCGACGTTGCTGCCCTCCATGGACGGCTCATCGATCCCGTCCTAATATCTCCATAAATGCCCCAAACACGATTACCTATTCACTGATTTACCAACCACGCAAACGGACAGAAAAGGGTCGTTTTAGTCATTTACTTGAGTTAGAGCCGACGGCCGTCAAAACCTAACCGTGTGTTTTACAGAAAACTCCTCGCGTCATACGAATTCCCAAAGTTCGACCTGTAAAAGAGGGATTAAGCATCGATGCGCTTCTTTCTTTCACGAAGGTCCTTTTCGAAAATAAACATAACATAAAATAAAATTACCTAGCGGTCCTCAACCGTTGGCTACATGACCCTACCTCACGGCCGTCGTGGACGAACCGGTGAACCGGCGCTCCAGTAACATTCGACCTCCATGTCGGAGGAAATTACGACGAGGGGCCTATTTGAATTTCCCGCTAAGATTCCGAATCTGTTTAAATTTTTGAAGAAGAGTACACCTCAAGCTAACATAAGATTCCGAGAAGATCCCAACCGGCGCCGCCGATGACCAGGTTGCCCTCGCCAGGGGTGGCCTCAGGCGCCCGTGATCGGAGGGCGTTTTGGTCACTTCGCCACGGTCCAAACGTGCGACGACTAGAATACTCTGCCTGCGACCGGG